ACTCGGGACACGCCTCCTTTGGGATGTACTGCGTGGTGTTCCTGGCGATGAGTCCGTTTTTCTGGGGCTTGCCCATCAAGTCACTCCCTTCCCTGGACCTCGGTTTTTCCAGCTGTAAAATGGGTGGGTCGTGGTGGTGATGGAGGCGCTCACTGACTTGTTTGTAAAAAAAAAAACAGGAGGTCCTGGGCTGGCTGGTTTTATGCCCTTGGCCTCGGAGCTGCCATCTGTGCAGTGGGCGTGGGAGTGCCTGGCAGGGCACAGGCTGAGGCGCCCTCTCCCGTCCCAGCGCTACATGCAGGCGCGGCTCTGCTGGAAGTGGACACAGCTGCTGCGGCCCACGGTCCAGTTCTTCCTGGTGACCTTTGCCCTCTATGTGGGCTACACCCGCATGCCTGATCACTGGAGCGACGTCCTTGCTGTTCTCCTGCAGGGGGCGCTGGTGGCTGGCCTCACTGTGAGCTTCTGACCCTGACTCACCCCCTGTGCTGTCCAGAGACCACTCCCTGCCCAACCCTGGTCCTTCCCTGCACACTCTTGTCCCATGGAGTCCTCCCCTGTAACCCCTTTCTCCAACCCTGGTCCTTCCCTGGGACCCCTCCTTCTCCCGGTTTCTCCCCTGGGACCTGTACCCCAAACTCCAGTTCTTCCCTGGATCCCTCCTTCACCCCCAGATCCTTCCCTGGGATTCCTTCCCTCAATCCCAGTTCTTCCCTGGACTCCTCCTTTCTCTCCATTTCTCCCCTGGGACCTCTTCCCCCAACCCCAGTCCTTTCTAAATGCCTCCTTCCACACATTCCTCCCTGGGACCCCTTCCCCAAACCCTAGTCCATAACTGGGACCCCTCTTACCCCCAATTCTCCTCTGAGACCACTTCTCCCCAACCAGCATCCTTCCCTGGGACCCTTTCTTCCCCTCATTTCTCCTCTGGGATCCCCCAAGCCCAGTCCATCCCAGGACCCTTCCCCTGCCACATCCTCCCCTGGGACCCCTTCCCCCAACCCCAGTTCTTCCCTAGACCCCTCACTTCTCCCCATTTCTCCCTTGGGACCCTTTTCCCCAACCCCAGTCCATTCATGGAACTCCTCCTTCCCCCATTCCTCCCCGGGACCCCTTCCCTCAACCCCAATCCTTTCTGGGGGCCCCTTGCTTCCCCCCATTTCTCCCCTGGGACCCCTCTCCCCAAACCCAGTCCTTCCCTGGACACCTTCTTCCCCCAGTTCCTTCCCTGGGTCTCCTGCCTGCACACCGTAGTCCTTCCCTGGGCCTGTCAGCACCCCAGTGCTCTCCACTGGTCCTCCACTAAGAGGGCTCTCTTCCCCCCACAGGCACTCTTCCTCTCATTGCCCACCTGAGACCCTGTTCCTCCCCCTCCTGCCCATGCTCATGTCTCTGGTGCCTGCCTAGCCCCTGCCCAGTCTCACCTTCCTCCACTCTGCCAGGTCCGCTACATCTCAGACTTCTTCAAAGCCCGACCCCCACAGCACTACCTGAAGGAGGAGGAGCTGGAAAGGAAGCCCAGCCTGTCACTGACAGTGGCCCTGGGCGAGGCTGACCACAACAACTCTGGGTACCTGCACTCCTCCTCCTGAGGCTGGATGCCGCCCAGGCAGGGAGTGGCTGTGAGTCCAGCTGAGGCCGGGCCCCCAGGAGGTCCCTCTGTCCCTGGGTAGGCACTGAGGGCTCCGAACGGGCTCCAGGAACCCTGGGCTGATGGGAGCAGTGAGCAGGCTCTGCTGCTTCTGCTCTGCACTGGACAAGGGGTCTGGGGAGGCCTAGGTAGCCCTGAGCATTTGGAGGGGGACCTGTTCCCGTAGCTCCCCAATATCCCCATTCTTTTATGGGTTAAGGAAGGGACTGTTTTGTAAAATGTAATGTACATGTGGTTTTTAGTAAAATAGGGTATTGGTTTGATGAGTGGCCTCAGTGCCTCTGTTCCTTATGGCCATTCTGGGGACGGTGTTCCTCCCATCAGAGGGCTCCGTGGAGCTCAGGCGTCAGGCAGACTCACCCGCTGTGACAGTGGAGGGCAGCAGCCAAGCCCGCCCCTTGCGTTTCTCCCTGCACGGTGCTGGGGTCAAGGGTCAGGTGGTCAGCACACCCCTCCCCTCTGCTCATGTCCACCCCGTGCACCTGGGGGCCACGCTTCTGAAATGGGTAATTCAGGGGCTGGTTTCCCTGAAGTGATGGCAGAATACACAGAGCTTACTTTTTCAACATGAGGGTAAAGGGTACATTTGTTATTTTGTACAGGAGGTAACTTAAGTGTCTGCCGATGTTTTGTTTGCACCTGGAACCTCTCTTATTCCCTCACCCTGCAGGGTGTTCCTGTCAGGACTTAGCCTATGGGAAGGGTGCTGTAGCCCTGGGGGCAAAAATGCAGCCTGAGAGTCCCACCCAAGGGGACGCAATGGAGGCCTGCCCTTGGCAGATGGGAAGGAAGGTGACCCAGACCCTGCGGAACTCCAGTTGAACATCAGGGACTTGCCTCCATGGAGGTGTCAGACAGGATCCTGACTGGGAAAGTCACATCGAAGCCTCCCAGGTATGCTAGGGTGCCCCAGCAGGCAGTGACGCCCAAGGACCAAGGAGGCTGTGTCTGGGCTCAGAATGTATCTCTGGCAGTGGGTGGGAGAGACGTTCCCAGTCAGATCCCACGGGGAGAGTCACTGCATCAGGAGCAAATGGGAATGACCCAGGTGCCCTGACAGCAACCGACACCTCCGTCTCCTCCCAGGCGCAATGGCCTTGAAAGCCAGGACCACAGTGAGGGTTGAGCACGAGTCTGTGGGAGCAGCTGCAGTGCACAGGACTCCAGTGTGGTCTGCTGGGGACAGGTGGCCTTGTTGGGACGAGCAGTGAAGACTGAGGAGCGGAGGAAGTTTAGAGTGAGGGAGAGGACGTGACTGAGTCTGGCTGCTGGCCTCAGCTGGGGGAGTCTGAGTGCTTCAGAAAGAGCATGTGCACCCCACGGCTGTGAGAGCAGAGAAAGAAAGGGCTGCACTGACCAGCGCCATCCCCAGAGGGTCCTCAGGAGCCAGGAGTGCCCAGCTTTGGGAGCCGGTGGCCTTTCTCACCGTTTGGGTGTTGCCCAGCTGGGCTATACACGCATTGCTCTGCATCTGTTGAGAAAAACCGGGACGCAGGCTGTCAGGCTCGGAAATTCTCATGGGTTCCCAGTACCAAGATGGCAGGCAGGGCAGCAGTTAGGACACATTTCTCCACCCACACCAAGCTCTGGGGAAGCCCTCATGCATAATTTTGGGTTTACACTGCCCACACCCTTATGGTTTCATGGAAAAAAAACAGTATTTTCTCTCGTTGTACAAGGAGGATTTTTTTTTCTGTTGTTTCTCACAAGAAACTGAGATTCTTAGCCATGT